AAGAAAGTGTTCAAGCCCTTCCTACCTCCTGAGTGATCTGCTTCCGCATCCACGGTCCATCCATCCTCAGCCCCCAAGTCTGACAACTCCTCCTTCAGCACCCCATTGCTGAAGGGTCCAGTACTGTCTGGCAGAGGTGGTGTGATGGCTTTATCCCTGGGGATTGAGATGGTCTCTATGCAAGAGTCTTCAAGCCCAGAAGTGCTGACAGAATCTGAACACTGCCCTGAGGAGGCCACTGAAGGGACATTCTGGCTAGTATCGGAAATACAGGTGACAAAGGAGTCATTTCCCAGGACACTTGCCCCTTCCAGTGACTCTCTTGCGGAGGTGGCTGGTGGTAGGCAGGGGGCTAGGGAAATGGGGTATGCGGAGTTCTTTGGCTTCTCATCCTTGGTGGGGCTTGACAGAGGACTGCTAAAGCAGCTGATGTAGGTCTTTGGTGGCAGGGCTTCTGGTAGGCTGGCATCTGGCCCTGCTGTGCTTGAAGCAAGCTCTGTGGTATCTTGCCCCAGGACAATTTTCTGGCTGGCTGGGACACAGCTCTTCTCCTGCCCTTGAGGCTGAATGCCTGAGGTTGGATGCACCTGCGCCGCAGACTTACCCATCGTGGTGGCCAGCACCTCTTCAGTCGCTTCCAAGATCACCTGGGAGATGATCTGGAAAGCAGCCTGCTCAATCTGCTCATTTTCAGGCAAGGTCTCCTCTTTGCCCAGTTCCCTAGCCGGGTCTCTAACCCAGGCATCACTACCTCTGACCTGGGGTACCAACGTATCCTCATCCTTAACCAGCTCTGGGTGCACCACTTCAACAAAGCCACTTGGCAGTTTCCCAGCGTCATACTCTTCCTTCTTTGCAGGCTTGGCCACCTGCGAGGGGCCAGTATTCCCTGTCTCTCCCCCACCTCCTACAGGGGCTGAGCTTGGGGCCTTGTTTTTCTCCACTTCTGAGACATTCTCCAGGGATAAGAGAGCTTCTTCAGGTACATTTTCTCCCAGCACTGCATCTCCAGTCCCCTCTGCCCCACCTGTCTCTCTTGCTTTCTCTCCAGGGACTGCAGACTGGCCAGGCCAGCGCCCCCTGGGCATCTTGCCCAAAGCAGACTCTTGCTTATACATTTCAACTGCTTCATGGGGGGATGGCACATCCTTTGGGGGAAGGGGACACTCAAGAGGAATACATTTGGCCTCATCCCCCATCAGGCTAAGTTCCACTTTCGTGCTGTCATCTCTGCATGGTCCTGGCTGCAACCCTGTGTCTGTAATGATGGAGAGGCTGCCTGAAGACTCTGATCTATGGCAAACCTGCCGCATCCATGGCAAGGCTGGGGGCTCCGTAGAAGGCTTGCCCACAGAAAGTTCTTCCTTTTCTGGTAGCTGTGTGACACTGGAGGGGAAGGACACAACTCCAGGACAGGCCTCTTCCTTGGGGATTGGGTCCTTGATGGCAGGGCTGGCCATCAGTGCCTTGGCCTGCTTATCATTGCTGTTGAGTCGCTCTTTTTTACGAGAGAAAAACCACCACCAGCCAAGGAGTGCTAGCATTCCAGGCAGCGCCAAGGGGAAGAGTGAGCGGAACTGGATTGCCATCTTGGAAGCAT